ACTTTTTTTCAGACTAACACAAAAAGCTTGTGTCTTTTGATAAAATGAATTCACCAGAAAAGTTGCTGCCACACTCCTCCTGATTTTTTGCCACCAGAGATTAACATAGTTCTCCTACAAAATAGATCTGTGGTGGGGCAGTGGTTAGAATGCAGTACTGCAGGCTACTTCTGCCGACTGCTGGCTGCCAGCAGTTCGGCAGTTCGATTCTCATGGGCTCTGTCTTGCTCCTGCAATCTCGTTTCTTCTATTGTATGAGATCCCAAATCTTTCGATGTTGGTATTGATTGCAGCCATTCTTACATTTCAATTTAAAAATAAGGGTGCTCAGATTAGACCCTGGGAATTTTGTAACAGTTATATTGACCTTCATACAATGCTCTTTCTTTTTTATTCCAAAGGTGGGTTTTGCCGAGGGAGGGAGGGAGGGTGGGTGGGAGGAAAGAAGGAAGGAAGGAAGGAAGGAAGGAAGGAAGGAAGGAAGGAAGGAAGGAAGGAAGGAAGGAAGGAAGGAAAGATTCAAGAGGCCTCCTGCTATACAGTAAGGAGCAACAAAGAAGAAAAACTAAGCAGGAGAAAAGAATGCAGAAAGGGATCCTAATTTAGGGGGCTGGGCAGATAAAGAGAGAGAGGAAGAATGAAAATGAAAAAAGTTGGATGGAGAAAAGCTACAGTGTGAGAGAAATGAGAAAAACAGTAGTGAGATCATGTATATAATGAACACAAGAAAGAAAGGGAAAGACTCTGGGAATACTGGCTCTGGCCACTCTCCTGTGCCCCTCCATCAACACCTATCATTCCTGCAGCCCCAAAATACTGCCACATCTGATCACTCTTATGCAACTGGAAAGAAGACTGGTGAGTTTAACAATACTAGTAGACGTAAGCATTCATTATGTCTGCTCTTTATTTTCTGGTCTTCACTTCCTAACCTTGAAAATAAGAAGAATCATGAAACTGACCTGGTCCCAGTTTAGAAACAGCATACAGGAGGTCATAATTGATGACTGGTGTATCATCAGTTTTTGACTGCCAACCTACAGGAGGAGAGGCTGGAGGTGAGATGACGAATTGCTTGGATGGCTGGGGTGGAGCCAAGTGGAAGGCCTCTCCATCATTCTCCAGAGTCTGGACCTTTATAGAGATGAGGGGCAAAACAGAGTATTGCTTCAAGAGAATAAGGACAGAAGAATAAAACAATTATGTTCGGTCCAATAGCCACCCCCTATTTTTGGAACCAATTTCCCGAGGATTGTTGGTTTCAGTCTCAACTGATCTGGAAGGCATCAAAATGGAAAAGAAGGCTGCAGTAAAGGTCAGAAAGTGTATTCATAAATAAATGCTCTGCTATTTTCAGGTAGTACTGAGTTACACCCATAACTGTGTTCCTCTTTCCAAAGGGATGGGCTAATGTAGCTGTCTGTAAGGCCAATGGAAACAAGCTAAATCTGTCTTTCTGACAACCGGCGCCACACTTGATCTGCAAAGAAAACAAAGGAATTACTTGGCTCTCTGTAGAAATCCTATAGCCGAAGGGCAGAAAAGGTGATGTCTAAGCATTCAGAAGATTCCTTGCTTCAGCTAATTTATACAATATGCCTGACTATTTAAGAAAAAGGAAAAAAGAAATGGAAATCTTACACACTGCAATATGGAGCAACCTCTAACATTATCTTAATTGGCAATAATATCCCAGGTCCCAGAAAGAGCCAACAGGCCTTCTTAAAAGTTAAAAATGGGAGGTAGCTGTGGCCCACAGCTTTGCCCAGGATGTGCCCACTTACCTAGGAAAAAAGACAAAGAAAGCTGCAGTGATAGTCAACACCAAGGAAGCTAGAGGGTGTGAAGGAGAATCTTCTCTGATTTGTATTCTGGCAAAGAATATTTTGTGACTGGCCCCGCCATTATACTAAATAGGCAAAGCCTCCATATATTTCCAAACAATGCCCACTGATCCCAAAACTTTGTCTACATGCATACATTCCTAGTCTAGTAATCACAATAAATTACTGACAGGTGCTGTCTTTAAGGTAAGACTAATATAGGACCCCTGATTGGCTCTGGCATTCTATCCCACCCCCTCCCCATGTGCTGCAGATTCTATGTCTTCTAGTTTTTCTTAGATGGGTGATTGCATCCTGATTTCCAGTCTTCTGTTGCATGAGTGGTGAAACAGTGCTGTGAGTTCTTCTTTCTTTAAAATGTGTGACTTGGTTACTTTGGAGCAGGGGTGGGATTCAAATTTTTAACAACCAGTTCTGTGGGTATGGCTTAGGTGGTGGACATGGCTTGGTAGTCATGTGACTGGGTGGACATGGCTTGGTGGTCATGTTGTTGGCTGGGCGTGGCCAACTTAATATCACTCACATCGAGGCACGCATCTCCTCGCCTGGCCTCTCATGACTGTGGGGATGCTGCAACAGTTTTAAGTGTGAAAAATGGTCATAAGTCACTTTTTTCAGTGCCATTGTAACTTTGAATGGTCACTCCACACAAGCAAAGTACCAGGAAAGGAGGGGGAAAAATTCCAGAGAAGTTCCAGAGACAGGAAGTCTAATCCTGCCAAGAATGTAAAAAGGGTTAACGGAGAGGCAGTTTCTGTAAGCAACACCAGAATGTTTCCTTTCTGCCTTCCTTACAGGATTAGGCCAGTAATTTCTTCTAACAACCGGTTCTCCAAACTGCTTAGAATGTTAACAACCAGTTCTAGCAAATAGGTGCCAACTGGTAGAATCCCACCCCTGCTTTGGAGATGTGGAAAGCTTATTGGCACACGGTGCCATGTCTGCTGGGTTAGACTATCAAAGCAATATTGCTCATATCTAGTAAAGTGGTGTTTCAGCACCTGTTTTGCTTTTTCAGTACTAAGTGTTGAAACGAGAACATGCACGCACTGAAAAGAAACCGAGTGCTGAAATGCATGCATGTGCGCGTATATGCGTGTGCATGCTGAAAACTGGAAGAGCGGCTCCTGGCACGCACCAGCCACCTGATCTTTTTGGCTTCTAACAAGCATGCACGCTGGCCAGCTGGTCTCCATGCGTGCATGCGTGTTAGAAACCAGAAGACCAGTTGGCTGCCATGCATTCGTGCACCAGGAGCTGCTCTTCCAGTTTCTGGTGCTCCCGCATACACAAAGACCAAGTTGGCTGGCAGCACCGGAACTGGGAAGAGCAATGGGTGACGGTTGGCATGCCCAGAGAGATGGCTCTGTGTGCCACTTCCGGCATGCAATGCCATAGGTTTGCCATCATGATTTTTGTCTGTTGTTTAAAGGAAGAAGAATTGTTCTTCTTGTCTGCTGCAGTGCACAGATTTTTCAGCTATATGGAGATTGCCCAACCCAAATTGATATTTGTTTATTTATATATTGAATAGAGGTAAAGAGCCACCCAACTCAAATAGAGTGATTCTGGGCAGCATGAATATAAACATCAGACAACTATGGATGCTTTGATTATTAAAAAGGGGACTTCACTGGAGGCTAAAACCAGAGGTGGTATTCAGCAGGTTCTGACTAGTTCTGGAGAAATAGTAGTGGAAATTTTAAGTAGTTCGGAGAACCAGCAAATACCACCTCTGACTGGCCCCACTCCCATCTATTCTCTGCCTCCCGAGTCCCAGCTGATCGTCTGGGTCTTCTTTGGTTGCCCTACACAGGAGAACAGAGCTGGAAAGCAGGTTAGTGGAGTGGGGAGGGAATGGGATTTTGAACCTTCCCCCAGGAGTGGGGAGGGAATGGAGATTTTACAGTATCCTTCCCCTGCCACGCCCACCAAGCCACACCGACCAAGCCATGTCCACAGAACCAGTAGTAAAAAAATTTGAATCCCACCTAAAACATATGTCTGGTCTAGTGTAAAGAAGGACTGGGGTAACATGATAGCAGTGTTCCAATATTTGAGGGGCTGCCACAAGAAAGAGGGGGTCAATCTAGTCTCCAAAGCACTTGAAGGCAGGACAAGAAGCAATGGATGGAAACAAAGGAAGGAAAGAATCAACTTAGAAATAAGGAGACATTTCCTGATGGTTACAACAATTAATCAGTGGAACGGCTTGCCTTCAGAAGTTGTGAGTGCTTCAACATTGGAGATTTTTAAGAACAGATTAGACAACAATTTGTCTGAAATGGTACACGATTTCCTGCTTGAGTAGGGGGATGGACTAGAAGACCTCCAAGACCCCTCCCAACTCTCTTATTCTGTTATTCTGTTAAAAATGTTCCCCATGGTTTCATACTGTATATAAAGTGGGAAATACACTAGACCCTGAGAACAATGAAGTTCTAACCCATGCTTCTAAGTCATTTATTTATCATATTTAGAAATATATTTAGAAATAGTGATATCAATAGTGATATATTTAGAAATAGTGAATAGTGAATTCATCAGCAGCTACATTAATTCATGTTGTCGCTATGTAAATTTGGTTGGTCCTGCAATATGACAAGATGAAACTGTTTTAAGTGATACTATAAAGAAAAGATAGATCATAACACGACAAAGGTACCAAAATGTTTTTCCATTTTAGTTCAGACTAGCAGGTGGATGCTCTTTTGGCTTGAATTATTTTGGAGCAAAACAAAGAGTGAGATTTCTTCCATGCAATCATGCTCAATTCCAGAGACTGCCCAGACTAGTCCCTAAACATTTCTTGACAAGGTTTTTCAGAAGTGGTTTGCCATTGCCTCTTTCCTAGGGCTGAGAGAAAGTGACTGGCTCAAATGTAACCAGCTGGCTGACTAGAACTCACAGTCCCCCAGTTTCTAGCCTAGCCTGGTATCTTAGCCACTATATCAAACTGACTCTCAGACTAAAGTTAACTCTCCAGTATTCCAGTATTTGAGAGATGCCACAAAGAGGAAGGGATCAATTTATTTTCCAAAGCACCTGAAGGCAGGACAAGAAACAATGGATGGAAACTCATCAAGGAGAGAAGCAATCTGGAATTAAGAAGAAACTTCCTAACAGTGAAGACAATTAACCAGTGGAACAGCTTGCCTTCAGAAATCGTGGGTGCTTCATCAATGGAAGTTTTAAAGAAGAGGCTGGACAGCTACTTGTCTCAAATTGTATAGTATCTCCTGCTTGAGTAGGAGTTGGACTAGAAGATCCCCCCAGGGTCCCTTTCAGCTCTATTCTGATTGATTCATATTTTGTCCACTTTACTCATACACACATTAGGGATTAGTTCTGGTCTCTTGTCTGACATTAACATGCTCAAAAATTTAAATTACCTCACCTGCATCTGGGTGAAGAAAATGCTTGGGTAAAAAAGAATCTTACCTTTGCAAAGTAAAGCTTTAGTTTCTTCCCTTGGAACTGTGTTTCATGAAGTTCTGTTCTAGCATTAGCAGCTGATTTGGGGTTGTTGAAGTTAATTTTTATGCGTCGAAAACTTTTAAACAGTTGAAATGTCACACAATCATCATAAGCACGGAACAAGCTCTCAAATTTCTCCTGTAATGGTAAAAAAAGTTATCTGGTTATCCTGAAAGTCCATTGTACCCCTGTAAATGTGATAAATATAAGAAAATAATGATGAGAATTTAATTTTAGGACTAAACTATCTTTATATACCCACACTCTTTCCTTTATTGATTTTATATCATAGTACACAAATTCATACATAATATGAAACCATATAAAGAAAGTACATGTAGTAAAACAATAATCAACACATATATCAATCTGACAAGTGGGGTGAGGGTGAGGGTTGAGGAATAGTTTACTGTGATTATGCTAAAAAGCCATACAAGATTTTGGAACTGCATAATCTGAATTAATTCTAATCCCGTCCTTGCAATTTATTTTACTCATTTTCACTCCAATCTCACTGCCTTCCAAGGGACTGATAAACTTTTCACATATTTTCACGATCTAATTCATATTCTTATTGCATCCTTTGTGCCCAAGAATCCCCATCACATCAATCTGTTGTTGGTGGCACTTTTGCATACCTGCTTGCCAAAGGTCAATATCCATCACTGAATCACAAGAAAAATAAAGAAAAGGAAAGAGTTAAACCAGCAAGGGTCAATTTCTTCTGGTTGGCCTGGACGTGAATAGCTACTGAAGCATAGATTTCCCCACCCCAAAGGAAGATAGGAGGGGAAAGTTGTGCTTTGGATCAGTTAGAGCCTAGCAGATCGACAACTCTCCCTCAAACACTCCCAAGTCACACTGAATGTCTCCTTAGGAAATCTTCCATTTTGGATGGAAAATGTTCCTAACATCAATCCAACTTCAGCCAGCTTGAGTAGTGAGTTGACAGGCAGACTGAAACTATAGGTCATCTAAAAATAGTGGCTGTCTTGGGCAAGGAACTTGTGTCGATGACCTGGTACTTTTGGTACATGGTACAGTATCCTACTTGTGTGTATCTCTGCGTGCCTTTTGACCCTAGGTGAGTCTCTGCAGTTTTCTTAGCAAGGTTTTTCAGAGGTGGTTTGCCCTTGCCTCTTTCCCAGGGCTCAAAGTAATCATATCTCAAAGGACTAGAAAACATTGTCATGGTCATACAATATACAAATGGGAGTAATGGCAATAGCACTTAGACTTACTGGTATATGCCACTTCACAGTGCTTTACAGCCCTCTCTAAGCGGTTTATAGAGTTAGCATGTTGCCCTCAACAATCTGGGTTCTCATTTTACTGACATCTGAAGGATGGAATGTTGAGTCAATCTTGAGTCCATCAGGATCAAACTCCAGCCTATGGCCGGAGTTTTCCTGCAATACTATATTCTAACCACTGCACCATCAGTGCTCAAGGGAGCAAATGGGAACAATACAACCTTTTCAACAATAGCTATTTACAAAACTGTGTGTCACAGACTTTCTAACATGGGTGAGTAGATCATAGATTCTTATCACATGGTATGTATTATAGCAATAGCACTTAGACTTATATACCGCTTTACAGTGCTTTATAGCCCTCTCTAAGTGGTTTACAGAGTCAGCATATTGCCCCCAACAATCTGGGTCCTCATTTTACCAACCTCAGAAGGATGGAAGGCTGAGTCAACCTTGAAGTGACCCTAAGGGCACAGATAAACCTCCAAGTGACCTCAATGATTCTCACAAAGAGGGCTAACAACCTCATCACTACAAGGAATATCAATCCTTCCATTCTCCACCATTCAGTCAGAACTGAAGAAGTTTCTTGGATGAGAAGCAAAAGGTCTTCTAGCAAGGCAAGGATGACCAGTTACCTTTTGAAAGAAAGCACCTTTGGGACAATCATGACCTGGACTGCTGAGAATCTCCATAGATATATGTATTAAGTTGTCTAGTGCAAGAATACCTGTCCTGTACTTAATCATAAATAATTACATCAGAAAATAATTCTGTTTGTATCTTCTGTATTACATTTCCTTCTGCCTTAATTGTTTCCTCTTTCTAATTTTATCTGCCAAAGTAGGCTATGGGGCACAGAAGCTAACATATTAATCTTAACATACTGCAAAACTCTTTATTGCTATTCTTTAACCTAGTAAACTGATTAATCAATATTACAGCAAAGTAGGAGCTGCAGACATCTAAATGAAGTGAAGCCCAATTTTAATATAGTTGCAGAAAGGAGTTTGATCATTCCCATGTGTGATAAATCAAAGAGCATATAATTGCAGTGATCCACATGACAGAAGCAACATTATTTATGTGATGAGTTCATTATATCAGTGAAACAGATTACACAAATATAAATTTAGAATTATGCAAATGACATATTGCATAAATACATAAATAGGTGCAAAAGATGCAAATCACCACAGAACTTGAACCACTGTATGCAAAGTTCATTGCAGAAAGATCCAAAAAGCTGACATTTCACTGTCTGCACAATCGGGCATTTTAATAATGATGAATGACCATTTATTATATATAAACATGTAATTATCATTAGGTAATTCCTAAAATAGAGAAAAGAACTAAATTGACTGCAAAGGATTCCAACCTTCACAGTTTTGGCTAACACAAAAAGAGTGTTGGCAAGCTTTTCAGAAGCAATTTAGAAGTAGTTTGCCATTGCCTCCTTCCTAGGGCTGAGAGTGAGTAATTGGCCCAAAGTTATCCAGACCAGTGGTCGCCAACCAGTGGGCTGGGGACCACTGGTGGTCCACGAAAAAAAAATTGTAGTCTGCAGAGAAATGTCACCCACAAAGCACCCCACAAAGCAATTAATCCAGGCTGCGCCACCCACATGGCCTGTGGGAACACAAGGCTAGTGTCGCTTGTATTGCGAATAACAAGACATAGTGAAGGGAGGGGGGAAAGTGCAGAGGGGGAAACTTGCCCCATGTGCCTCTCCTGGCCACTGGGCTGCTTCTTTCCACTTCTTTCTTCTTCTGCTTTTGGCTGCATGCAAAGAAAGCAGCAAAAGTCTTTCTTTCCCTCCGCCAAACTCTGCCAGAAATTAGTCTTTGGGACCCTGCAAGGCATCCTATTCCAAGAGGCTGTGCCTCACAGAGACTCATTTCTGGTGGAGTTTGGGTGAGAGAAAGAAAGACTTCTGCTGCTTCTTCTGCTTTCCTTTCATGAAGCCAAAAGTCTCTCCCTCCCTCCTTCCCTCCCTCTCTCTCTATCTCTCTCTCTCTTCCCCTGAGAACAGAGCTGGAGATGGTATCCTGCAATCCCAAATAAAGAATGATCGATCAGTAGGAAAACAGGGTGGGAAATTTTCCTACAGACTTTTGGGGGGATTTTCCCAGGATCTCTGGTCTGTGGGAATTAAAATTATGAGTTTGGTAGTCCCCGAGGTCCAAAAGGTTGGTGACTCCTACTCCAGAAGGCTTCATGGCTAAAGCAGACATAAAACTCCTGACCTACCAGTTTCCAGCCTGATGCTTTTAACCACTACACTGGCCCTTGGTATTGGTTTTACAGTAGTTTATATCTAATTTTGGAGACAAATGAAATGGCTTTTCAGCTCTGAAATCAGGAAGAAAATAACTCTTATTTATTTCTTGACACAGAATCACATAATTGTCTTAGCCTAGCAGAAATAAAGAAATATTACAGTCTTGATATCAACAGCTAGAAGGCAATTTTGGTTTGTGCATTAGGCATTCAGTGAACTAAGACAAATTGTGTTGCATATTCTAGAGAATTGAGTAAATTGGACTGGTTTTACCAATGTTGAATACTTGTGGGCTTGATCCTGTATCTAATTTGTTTCATTAGAGGAAAGGTATATAGAATTCTTAATTCTATGTGCCATAAACCTTTAATAACAAAATTTTCAGAGAGGGCTTTTAAATATGCTCTTGATTGAATCCTAATTCATGCAGCTAAAATCAGAGTTCAGTCTTCCAGGAAATATTTGGTTCAGGGCAAATGTTGCTTGCATAAGCCATCATGCTGTTTCAGCTAAGTTTTATTTATTTGTGGTGCATAATAGTAAGGATTTCAGCAAAAACACATGTCAATTATCAGCTATCTAAATGAGCAGTCCTTCCTAATAGTAGTTAATACCAGGAGATGCATTCTCAATTATTACAGCAGTTGACTTTTAATTGAAGCAAGAAAGTAGCAATAAGATTTAATTTATTTTTTTAAATATTAATCAAAATTATATAGCCACCCATCTAACCAAAAGCAGCTCTGGGTGCACACAACAATCAGGTAAAACAATAGTGTAAAAACTGCATATATCAAATGTAAAAATCTATATTAATATAAAAACCCAAAATAGAAACATGAGGCAATAAGAAAAGTAAAAATAGCCACCTCAACAATTGACGCATCTCAGCAAATCTCCAGCACCCTGGGAACTCCAGGCCTAATAACATAACCAGGTTTTGAGAGCTTTTTGGAATATCCAAAGAGATGGAATTAATATAATTTCAGAGGAAAGGATGTTCCATAAGGCGGCTGCCATGCCAGAGAAGGCACATCTCCTGAGACCCACCAAATATCAATCCTTGGCTGATGGAACCTGCAATGTGTCAGCTCAATGGATCAATCTCGTTATTTGCTGGAGCAAGTGTTCTTTGATTGAATAGGTAGTTCTCCTTTAGCAACCACAATTGGGACCAACTTAGTTATTATGGGATGTGATTGCTAAGTGTCTGTGCTTCCTTCAGCCATTATCTCCTTTAAAGGCCAGAAAAAATAGTAAATGTGAGGACTAGTCAGGGGTGGGATGCTACCAGTTCTGCCGGCAATACAGAAGCGGTAGCTCAGAAGAGCAGCAAACATAGAACCGGTTCTATGTCTGCTGCTGTTTTGGCCCACCCGCCCGCCCGGGCTCTTACCTGACCTTTATTTCCTGCTTTTTCAACCTCAACTGCTTTGTGCGGCACAACTGAGGTTGAAAAAGCAGGAAAAAAGGCGTTTCTCGAGTGTTCCACACCTGCGCATAGTGCTTATCAGCTGTCTAGGCAGCACAGCTTTAGTTTTATTTCACGCGTGCAAAGCGTGCATGTGCGCACAAAACATAATTACCAAACCAGTAGTAAT